ACTCGTAACACCGGTCGCGCTTCTCTAATAATCTAGGACTCTAGGTCCACTTAGCGAAAAACTGAGTCTTCGCGCAGGTATCGCCGCGCAACTTTTGTTTTGGGTTGGATCCAATGAAATGTAAGACGATAGGAACGTACATACATATGTGCAGACAATTTATAAGCAAATACATCAGAAATTTTCTTTAGTGATCACTCCTACGAATAATTGTTACTAATAAAACATTTTATTTGATTCACACATTGAATTTATTGATTTATTGTATCGAATTCATATTATTACTATTATCTGTTTTATTACTTGTGAGGCACTTTTCTCAATTCGATCCTGGATTTACCAGGTATATGGTGGATATGGTGGATGCTTACGTGATCCGGAAAAGGAGATAAAAGACGCCGACACGAAGTGGACCTACTGGTTATACTGTGGTATAGCCCCTGGTGGGGGCGTAAGCCATTCTACAAGAAGAAGAAGAAGAAGAAGTATTAAAGCGCGTTTAGATTTCATAACCACTCGGGACTCACGGGAGCTTCTTTGCTAGGCTCCGCCCACTCACCCAGTCACCCAGTAATCATCCACCCAGGAAGGAATCTAAACGCAGCCTTAGGTGCAATAGTGAATTAAAATGGTCGCTTTGATCATTTGATTGGTGCTTTGTCATGTGATTTAGACAGCCAATCAGACCACACTCTTCAATGTCGCATCTCTGTTTTCTAGGACTCTATCTAAAACAAGCTTCATTATCTTGGAATCGTCGTTTTTCCAATTTCTTAAAAAACAATGGATTTAAACAATTAAAAACAGAACAATGTTTGTTTGTGAAAGAAAGTAATAATTTAATCTTAGGCATTTATGTAGATGATGGAATTTTAGTTGGAGAAAATTTACAAGAAATGGAAAAATTATTTTAAAAACTTAAAAAAGAATTTCAGATGACAATAGAAAAGGATTCTAAGTTATTCATTGGTATGGAAATAGATAGAAAAGAGGATGGATTAAAACTAACTCAAACGAATTATGGATTAAGGGCTCCTGTACACTGGACGTGGAAATGTTTGCCGCGCGGCAAAATGCGACGCAGTAGCCAATAAACTTACAGCTCCTAAAGAAAGATGACACGTCCATTGGTTACCGCGTTGTGTCTTGCCGCGCGGCAAGCGTTTCCGCGTCTAGTGTGCAGGTACCCTAAATGTTCTAAAAAGGTATCAAATGGAAAATTCAAAACCAACTGCGACACCAATGCAGAAATCCAATAATAATGAAATTAATGGGCTGAAAAGCACAAATTATCCTTATCGAGAGGCAGCTGGAAGTATTTTATATTTATCTAGTAAAACCAGACCAGATTTGACATATGGAGTTGGATATGTCAGTCGTTATGCCGAAAATTCTACTGAAGAGAAGATAATAAATATAAAACGGATTTTGCGATATTTCAACGGAACTGTCAATCAAGGAATAAAATATAAGACAGATGCTGACAAAGATTTAATAGAAATTAATTATACAGATTCGGACTTTGCTGGAGATCCTGAAACCAGACGCAGTACAACGGGTTATGTAATATTCTACGGTGGAGGACCTATTGCGTGGTGTTCCTGCAGAAAACAAGGGATAGTAACTCTTTCACCCAGATAGCAAACTGCGCACAGTCTGCATGCAGATTGGCAGCAAATTCGAACAGATTCTGGTAGTAGAACCATATATAGCCATCTGTGTCCGCATTAAGCTCAGGATCTGTCGACAAAGTCTGTTGACACGATATGTTAGCAGATTGTAGACAGAAATTGAGCAAAATCTGCTGATATAATTTGACGACTAATTAGGAGCAGAACTCGGACAAAGCCTGCAAGCATAATTTGACAGCAGATTGGCAACAGAAATCGAGCAGACTTTGCAGTTTTGTAAGAATTAAAATTGTCATTGGTATTGAAATCTTGAAAAATGATGTTTTTTAGTCTTTTTATTTAAAATGTTATTTAAAAGAAATAATTTTAAACTTTATTTTATTAATAAGTTTTATTAATAAAAATTAATATATGTATTTTACATTTGTAACGATGCACCCCTTAAAGAACGCATCGTTCCTACACACGAAACCCAGCAGGAACCGGGCGCAGCGCGCTCGGGTTATCTTTTTCGCCACCCAGCGAAGCGCTCGGGAAATTCACCCCACCGAGCGCTCCTTTTTTTACAACCCTCCCGGAGATTACCGACGAGACGCGGAAACGTCCGAACCTGCGCCCGAGCGGATATAAAAGCCGGGAGAACTTTCGACGAAGTCACTTCTCGCTTGACTCGCTACCCGCCAGT